TTTCTTCAGTTCCCACTGGAGCACCACCATCCACATGACTGTCAGAGGCAGCTACACATTCAACAAAATGAAGTTGTCAGGTGAGAATGTTTTCAGCTGTAAAAGAAGGGAGGACTTCTGGCCTCCTGAATGTACAATTCTTGCATCTCCTTTGGTTTGCCCAGGGGTTCATCCCATCTGCACATCCTGGGGAGAAACAAACAGCTACAGGGGACCTCAGTCTGGACTTAGCCAGAGGAACTGGGGCCACTGGGAGACTGCACCTGTGGAGTAACAGCCACCCAAAGCGAAGGCCCACCTGGCTCATAGATCGGCTGGAGAAGGAGCACTTGCAAGAAGCTTACATCCACCCCCACCAGGAAGGATGCTGGCTGTAACTGGCAGCTACCCCGGTACTACAGAAGCAAGAGGAAGGAACTTTGGCCCCACCAGTTGGTCAAAGAAGCCAGGGCCTGAGCACCAGGCCACTACGCCAGCTTGGCCCAAAGCCCCTTTAAATATCAGCTTATAGACCACCACCTTCTTCTGGCCTGGAAATGCTGCCCTCCCGCCTCTTTCGTTTCCCCTCACTTTCTTTCCCTTGGGTATGTTATTTTTGTCACATGGAAGCCTTATGGCAAGGCCTGTCGCTCTTTTTTATTGATGCAAACCACTTTGGGAGACATAATTGTTTAAAAAGCTGGCTAAAATGCACGAAACAAAAAAACACCCACTGTACTTCCCCATTTCCTCTTTGCCAATCATTACAACCCAGCATTTTGCCGGGCAAAGCTCAGACGTGATTGCAAGTCCAATTCTCAGCACAAGGATCATTACCGATGGCTGTATTGGTTTACTCAGCAAGATCCTGCCCTTCAATGTTTTGACAGCTAAGAGGACAATTAAGCCAAACATAACAGGTTATCAACAGCTCTAAATGCATCTCAGCAGGATGGATGCACTTCCATGCTTCATCATATGTATGTACTGATCGAAATTTCCAAGATGCTGCCTGTGCCCAGGCAATGGAAGGCACATTCCCAACAAAACCCTCCTCTTTATTAGTAAACAACCACAAGGGGAGGTTCTATTAGCCAATGGTTGTGCCTGAAAACATGAAGAATTAAATATATGTTCCAGTTATTCCATTCTTCTGCATTTATACAAATAAGATGGCATCAGATCACGCAGTCCACCCTCACAGTCCTTCCACAGACACAAATCTGAAATTAGGGTTTTTCTACACTGCCAAGGATCACTGAGCTCAGCACTTGCTGAAAATGTGACGCTGCCAAAGAGCCACCTTGTTGCTCCAGCAAATTGAGTCGAGCTTGGCTGACTAAATAAAGCTTCTTCAAAAGGGGGAAGGACTGGCCAGGGAAGGAATCACCCTGAAATGATTCCTAAACATGCTCCAAAGGGTATGTGCTGTCTCCCTCGCCCATGTCCGTGCTGGCCCTGCTCCGTGCAGAGCACCCAGGTCCTTCCGATGCTACTGTAAGAGCTTTGAACAGGATCAGGGCACAACTCTAGATAATGATGTCAAAGAAATGACAACTGTGCTCTTTGCAGGAGTGGGGATGAATAATTACAAGGCTGGGACATAATTAAGCAATTTTGGCTGTCGTATTCTTCAGCTGTCATTCTGATGTGAAGAGTTGTCAGGCCTGGCAACATGCTTTGCGCTGGACTGGCATCTTCCTCTTTGATCTATACTTATGCTAGCAAAATGAGGTCATGGTTTGGTCATTAAACGAAGCTTCCTTGTCTGGCACGATGCCCCTTGCCCAGCCAGGCTTACAAGATTTTTATTTTTAAAAATCAAACATGAGACTACGTTCAATATTTTGACATCTCTAAATATAAACATCACTGGGTAATGAAGTTCAGCCTGCTTTTACATGGTGAGACAGAACAGAGCTTTGCAGTTTTCTAATGAATGACTGTATCTTCCCTGTAACGACAATCCCATCACAAACAGACTTTAAGCAACAAAAGATGAAATGAAGCAAAGCAGAGGAAAGCAGCATTCTGTTAAGGAAAATAAAAACTAGAGGAAGGCAATGAGTTAGACAAAATCAAATATTTACGATTGCATGAAGATGGGTGATTGCTAACTCCTCTTGCATTTGAGTAAACATGAGCTCGTTGGAGGAAAATGTCCTGCCTTGAGTCTTATTCCATGTGTTGTTTTCAGAAGGGTAACTAGAGAGCATTTATGTGACGCATCTCATCAAGCCCCTCTCAGGCAACTCTCCTCCACCCCACCTACTGCCCATTGTTTTCTTCTACTGAGTAAGCTATTTATCTTCAGGTTATCATAATGGAGGAAAGTTAACCTGAAATTTAATGTCGTTCTGCACTACACTAACACATCTTCCGGGCAATATGGTTTTCTCCTTGGTGACAGCAATCCCATCCCATCCCATCCCATCCCATCCCATCCTGTGGCACCAGGGTATGCTCCTAAAAGCACACAAAGAGCTGTATAGGCATGCTTAATATGAGCTCAGTGGGGAATGCGCATAAGTGCCTGTCATTTTGCATCATCACACACAGAAGGTGCACGTATGAAGCATCAGCAGGGGAATCTGTGCATTGTCTGATCAGCATTGTTATTATCCATAAAGCATCTGAAATGTACTAGGTGCTGTACACAGATTCAACAAAGAAACAGTCTCTGCCTGTAGGCTTACAATCTAAAGGATGTGATAAAAATGGAAGGCACTGAATAAACAAACATTATGCTGGATGCTCAGAAATGTAGATGGAATTTCTGTTCAGCACTTTCAGCTTGATGCTGAACCAGCTATGTGCCTGGGATCAGAAAGAAGTGGGACGTGCTGTCTAGGCGGCCAGAAAACCTAGGGGGACAGGTTACCGAAAAGGCATTTGGAACATATGTGGCTTGCAGGCAAAGCACCGAAAAGAACTTGGTAAAGGCAGACTTTGATCTGCCGTATATTATATAGCCAGAAACACCAATGAAACATATTACCTGTGGCAGGGGAGTGGCTCAGGAGGGGCTCAAAGGCATGCCACCCAAACGTTTGGGTTAACTACTGGACAGTGCAAACATTTTCTGTGGTATGAAGTCAGGTGGGCCTTTGTACATACAGATTTTGTGCACCAAATTCATTTTAATAAATTCAAACGCACTCCATACTTCCTTAGGATAAACCAATATATGAGTAACATATAATAAAATATAATGATAATAATTCTATTGCACACCAAGAGGCATTTGCTCATGATGTCCAAAATGTTTGCAAAAGGGAATACATTATGTTAGGTAAGATGTAGTAATTCTGTAGCAAGCAATTTTGGAAAGGTCTATCAGAATGGTAAATTTGTACCTTGCACTAAAAGGATTGGAGAAATAAGTATATGTTATAGAATAAGATTTAGCAGATAAGTAATTCAAAAATTATACTGTTTAGGACATGGAAATGTATTACTAGGACAAAATATCAAGGCTTGATACTATCTTTGTGAATTGAAGAATCTTACTTAAGACTATGGATTAAAAAAAAAAAAAAGATAAAATTGCAGCCACAAAAGGCAGAATGACTTTGTTCCCTGAATGGGCCAAAAGGCACGCCTGGTTTTTTGGACTATAACAGAAACAGAATAAAAGCCAGGAGTATGGAATTATTTCTAAATTGTGATTTGAAGCAATGACAAAAAGAAGACAAAATGAAGATAACATCTCTTATGTGTTCAACCGCTGTATTTTACAGGATTTAGTAAAGCAGAACCCTTTCATAAAAGCTTCAAAGCAAACATTTTCATTTATTAAAGCCTGCATTGTAAGAGCCAAAATAGCTAAAGGCACTAGTAAACAATGTGTCAAACCAACCCCCAAATAAGAACTGTTAAAACTTTAATAGTTGTAAAATGAATAGCTCTGAATTAATTTGCTTTCTGCTGGAAACATTCAGCTGATAACGAATCTATCCAACCACACGTCTATGCCCTCAAAGACAGTTTATTTCCATAACTACTATGCTGCTCTTTAAGCTGATTGGAAATCTGCAATAAATTATTAACCACATATATTATAAAATGAATCAGCATATAGAAAGCTGCACAGTGAATGGAATTTTAGATCACTAATAATTCCAAGAAATACTTGGATTTCTGTAGAAATATGGAGTTAAGCAGAACTGTGTTGAATGGATAAGGGCTTGGTAGAGAGAATCATTTCTCTTTCTGAGCAAACAATATGCAACGTTCCCTGTTTGTGGGTACTAAATGCCAGAAAGCCTGACTCTGAACAAGTCTCTTAAGCATCGCTCCTTCCAGCATCAGCTCCAGCTTTGCACATTGCATGGGGAACTTTCCCCACAAAGCTTCTGCATAGGCCATGAAGATCCCTGTGGCTCCTGGAATCCTACCCAAAGGTTCCTTAAAGGACACCCCCCCCCCCATGGGCACAAGGTGCCTCCTTGTGAATTCAGAGTTTTCTTCCTGCTCCAGCACAAGACCCCATCCACAAACACTCCAGGAATTTTGCCAGCCCCCAAGGAAAGGGGTACAGTGAGCTACAGTGGGAGACCCCAGTTAACAAATATATCCATAGATCTACCTCTTTATGCCCCATTATGCTGCTGTAAGTAAACATTTTACAGAGGATTTGACCACAACTTTGACTTATTTGGTTAATTAAGTGCAATCAATTCAGATCATCCAGAATAAATATGAAAGTGGAGGTCTTAATCGCTGGACAGAACAAATGGTATGTTATATCTATTTTCATAGAATCGTTTTTCTGGAACATATCACAAGTGCTTGCTGCCATGCATCCATCTTAACTGGCTAGGTAGAACTTGATGAAAGTGTAGCACGAAAGCAGATTCTGATTGGAGCACACTTAAGAAGCATTAACCCTTTTGTCTGCTAGTTGTCACTTACCTGATCTCCAGGAGCGACATTTTGCAAGTGATGTAGATGGAACTACTATTCAAGATGCCTCCATAAAGATCCATGAACATTCTTACAGCTTCCCACTGATCTCTCACCTTGGTCTCTTTGGGCTTCACCACTTTCATAAAAGCACCCCGCAAAATAGCTTCCTCGTGTTCACTCCTGCTCACTTTCCGAGAATCCAGAAACTTCAAGTTGGTTAATTTGTGCAGCACAAAATACCTGATTTGTATAAAATGAAAAATGTAGGTTAGGGAATTTCACTGGTCTGGGACCCAATATTCTCACTTCAAAGACTTAAAATAAGGAGCAAGGGTTTGCAGCAACCCATCACCCTCTACCCCCCACTATGGTCTTCACTCTGCTTCTCTGTCCAAAATGTCCTCATTCACACTGAAGCCACACCACTTCCACAGACAAGCTTAACTCTCTTCTGTACAACACACCATATAGCTCTTAAGCAAAGGGACCTAAAGAGGTGGATATGATTTTCCTATGCTAATCATTCTGCAGATACCATAATCACAACTTCACTACACTTTTATTCCAGATTTTGTGACCCGTACATGGCAAGAACGATCCCAGGATTCCAGCTGATCAAAACTGGACTGTTCAACCTTTGTGCACAGAGAGAGAAGTAGGAGCACGTGTGTCTGCAGCCCCTTCCTACTCACCCCTGTACTGTCTTCCATAACATCTGTAAGAACCCATTCACATATAAATGGTACGGACACATGCGCAAGCAGGGTTTCTGCCTGTGAAGGGGTCTCCAATTACAGGTACATATGAAAGAGGCTCTTTCAGGAATGCCAAATACACATGGGGGCAGAGGCAAAGAACACAAGGCCATTCATTCTCCAGGCACCTTGTATGTTCAAAGTAATGCTCAGACTGTGCAAACCTGACAAATGCATTGGCTAGGGGATATTTAGCAAGGATACGTAAGTACCGGTGTGGTGCGTCCGCACCTGGAATACTGTCCCCAGTTTTATTCACCCATATTCAAGGAGGACTTGAGTGTAGAGACACTCTTGGGTAAAATCGATGGGCAAGCCCATGCTGTTTTGTCTAGAAAATTGGAAGGCGAGAGCAGCGGAGATCACACACCACATTCACAACATATTGCAAGAGATAATACAGTACAGGAGGGAAAGGAATGAACAGGGACACCTGTGATACAAGAACCAATAGGCATATATAAAAATAACCACTAATACATAGGTTGGGATACCTCAGAATTCTTACAGTCCAGTTCCCTGTCCCTTGCCTTCGATGCACATAAGCCTCTGATCACAGAGGCCCACAAGCATCCTATATTTGGAATGAGGCACCATGGTGGCAACCCCAGCCAGCTCCACACTTTGCCCAAGTATTTTCCCTAGACAGCCATTTTCAGACACCAAGGTTTAGTGCCAGGGGAGGGGAAGCAAGCTGGAACATCAACTGGAATCAGCCTAGTTCCACATCCCTAACTTTCTCCCCCACCTGCCCCCAGCATGCCCCCTTTCTCTCTCTCTTGCACCCTTGGGGAGAGGGCAGTTGGAGCAGTTGCAGGGGGGCCAGGCAGGAGCTCAGCCTTCAGAGCCCCAGTTCGGAAGTTGCAGGGCCTTGGTGCTAGGACCCAAAAAAGTCTGGGGCCTCCCAGACGATTTGGGAGGCCTCAGGACTGCACCCTTAGAAGTGTCCCCTAGAACACCTGTGGTACCAGTGGTCCTTCCAAGACAGCAAGACTAAACCTAGGAAGAACTATCTTGTGAAACTAGTCCCAGCATTGAAGAATTTTCCTCTGATTATGATTGTCCTAAGCAGAGAGAAAGCGCAGGACAGTGTAGAGTTGGTCCCAATAAAACTTTCCTTGCTTTCAGTGTTTGTCTGATTCCTCATATTTATTTGACTGTTTGTTTAAAACTACTTTACTTGAAGATTTTTCATTCACAAAAGAACAATGCACGAATAAACTTTTTATAAGCCACCGACACCACCAACGGTTCTTTACTTACATACTCACTTTTCAGTGTTAGCAGACATTTAATTCACTGAAATTTTCATTTATTCATTTACAACATTATATGCCATAAGAAAATAATAATAATAAAGTGGGTGACTTAACATGATCAATCCAGTATTAAATACAACAAGCAATAATAAAATAATGAAACAATATAGTGCTCAAGCTGCAAACACTACAATGAATGAAAAGTATTCACAAGTAACAACAACAAAAATCTAAGCAGATTTTACAAGACTGGGCCTAGGACAATAAAAATAGTATTTACCCAGCACAAAAATAAGTACGTGGTAGGCGAACCTGTCTAGAGAGCATTCTCTGACCAAAAAGCACTCTGTTCCTAGTAATACCTCACCTGAATGTACCTGACGAGAAAGAAACACCTGGAGAGACACCTAATGCAACATATGCTAAAAATGGGTAAAATCTTCCCAACAGGTGGCAATGAACTTATTTTACCAGGCCCTCCTGCTTAGTCATTCTGGGATGCTTTGCTCTTTTCCCTGTAGCTTGCGCTCAGTTGGCTTGTGAGAATCACATCAAGCTGTTGTTCAAAGGTGAACTTGCTATCTGCGTTTGCTAAACTGCATTAACTTTGATGTTGAGTGCAAGCTGGCTTGCAGGTAGTTGGATGGTATGTATTCCCTTGAAAGGATAATATTCTCTCATTTTAATTTTTGCATTATGGAACCTTGTAATAAAATTGCTCCATTTTTCAGGCAAATCATACCAGTTCAAGTTTCTTAAAAAAAACATTATGCATCTGATTTGTGCATGCAAAAGCAGGGTATAGATTTACATAGATGCAACATGGATGCATACATTTTCTTTTTGTTGACTACTTCCTGGGTGAGTTTTGGCAATCAGGCAGAAAACAAATTAGGGAGGAGAAAAATGTATCACTGTGTGTGATGCAAGAATGGCACTTCAGTTTCTTTCTTTGGACTGTGCCTAAAAGGAGTATCTCCATCCATCTTTGGGGGAAATCTAGAAATACTTTCTTAGGGAAGAGAACTCCCTGAAATTTTGAGGAAAGCAAAACAGTCCAATACAGCAAAAACCCTTGACCTAGAAGAGTGTGGAACATTTGAGGGTAGAACCATCTTGAGAAAGAGGGTGACATTTCTTAGTGGTGCTTTAAACATACTTGTTTTTTCAAGTAAAAAGGAAAGCTAAGGTTATATATACAGAGAGAGAGAGAGAGAGCAGTGTCAGATCTTGATTCAAACTTGCTTTTTTGGAGCCTTCTCCAGCTTCCTCTAAGATTTTGGCAAGATGCTAGAACTGGGCTAGGCAAACACCCACACACAGCTGTATTCACAAAAAGCTGACAGAGCGTGGCACAGCGTGGCAGGAATCAAGGTTTAAAAAAAAGAAAGAAAGAACGCCCTGGAAGGTGATAATATCAACTCATCTCAAGTACTTGCTATTTACAGCCAGCCACCTAGATATGAAACAGACTTAGTGGAGACGGGGAGAGGAAGCGCCAGATCCTTTCCTGGCAGGAAACAGAAAGGTGATTGATAATATTTCCCACAAATGCCAAGTTTATATAGACTGTTGCTCTGGTAACCAAGCAAGGCCTCCATGGGACATTGAAGGGGCAACCACACGTGTCCAGAATGATGACGGGGGGATTGTTCAGTCTCAAGTCCAAAAGTCGGCCCTTTATACCCCTGATGGAAGAAAGCTGTCTGGGGCAGTTCTGGAATTCCCTTCCTTGGAAATGTTTGAGAAAGGGCTAGGCAGGTTTTTGAGGAGAAAGCGAGAGTCTGGATGCTTGAGGACTGGGTGCCTTCCAGTTTGCCTAGAGCTGCTCAGAAAGCAGCAGTGGTCGTGTTTTTATTAATTACTTGTTCCTTCAACAACCAGCCAAAACAATAAGCTGTCCAGCCAGCTACAGCTTCTTACATCTGAGCTTGTAAATTCTTAATGGAATAGAATATGCTCATGGATGCACATAAAAACCCATCAACAATCCAAATGGAAACCCTCAACTGTGTGCCTTCCATGAAAGAGTAATAACAATAAAACTGATAGGGCTCCTTACAGAGTACAACGCATCTTGAGCTAAGAAGGCAATTTGTTAACCACAGTTAAAGAGAGATGCAAGTATTCTCACAGGCATCTCCAACTTTTTTGGACTGTCCTTTCAGCCTCTGGTGAGCCTGTGAAAGCCCTTCTCTTTCAGTGAAAGAGAATACTTCCATCTTGTATTACTGGTAGAAAGCTCAGAGGACAAGAGGTTCTTTCAGACAGAGACACGGACAGAAGGAAACAGAATGTCGAAGGGGCCTACAAACACCCGTCTAAGTGCCAGGTGAAAAAAGATTAATATGCAGGTGTAGAAAACATCACTATTAGAACATCAGCAAATGTTTAATGATGGAGTGAAATATGCAGTCAAGTTATCGGCAGCAACAAAAATGACAACAGGGTGAGCCGGTGTAGTGTCATCTCTCTGCCCACTTTGGACCAAAGCCTACGGTTCAGTTTCATATGACACCATCAAAGATAGTACAGGAGTCAGGCAGTACACTTTTGGCAGAAAGGTTTCTCCATTTCTAGAACTCGTTCCTCAAAGAAAGGGAGCAAGTAACTCCTACTTCCCGGAAAGGTGGAGGGGTGAGAATGAAAGCCATATGGATCGTATGGTAGAAATCATCTCCCAATCATCTCAGCAGTGCAGATGTTGTCCAGCAAGGGGATGATGAATTATAAGAGGCAATCTGCAGCAGGCATTAGAGGCTACGCTGTCATCAGTGCTCAAGCATTGCAATAATGATGCCATTTTGAAGGACCATCAGATGAAATCCCAGCTGCAAACGCCTTTCATCCGAGGGAGAAGAAATGGCGCTCATGCATGCACAAAGGGACTCACATATGTTGCAGGCCCAGGCTGCTGGACAGACATTCCAGCTTCTGCCTCCTTAGGGTGCATCAAGGACAGGTATTTAAGATTGTCCTGTGGTCAGGAAGATGTCCGATTGTTCCTACATTGATATCAAAGCAACAGTTACAGCACTTATATATTCCGGTTCACAGGCATGGGACTTGGCTCCAATTTCTCCAGGCTTCAAAGATAAGCCTGAAAGTATGAAAAGCAGGGTCTTTTGAGTTGTGGCACTTTCTCTCTGTGATTGTTCACTCCAGGGTCTATTATAATGTGCAGCTGGAAGTGTTTTGTGTAATGGTAAACATAGGAATATCTGTG